TCAATTTATATTTACATTAATAATAAGATGTAAAATGATAACAATAATAAATAAATAAATTTGCATTCAATTGGACTTTTGATAAAAAAAGACATGCTTTATTGGAATTCGTATTTGCATCCATTACGGCTAAAAGTTTATTTGGTAAGAAGGTAAATTTGTCCTTGCATAACTAACCCAACTTTACAATTTATATGAACCATTTTACATTCTACATATTTACATTCACACTTACTTGCATCATTTCCAAGCCCAGCCTAAGAATAATTGTCCAAGTAGATTTAGGTTCCACCCAACTTTTGCAAGAGTTCATTGTTTATGTATTTCATTCTTCTCACACCAAGGCCCCCTGCATTTTTTTGAAAAACGGACTATATTCTAGCCAATTGGAGAGTGACATCCCTCACCTACACTCTTGTTCCAAACAAACCATCTTATTGACCGCTCCATATCTTCACACACACCAGAAGGAAAGGACACTTCCTATTAATGAACTTTACATGTAATGATCGATCGATCGTGCCATCATATTCTTAATACGCCTGTGGACATTATTACATATAAAAATGCCAGATTTAGAGTAATATACCTCTTGACCTGAGCTTTCACAAAAAAGTTGGAGAGCCTCATTCATTGTTTTCAATTCCCCCAAACAACCTCCCTTCATGAACCAACCTACTCATTAGGCTCAGTTTGGAAAGAGTATATAGAGTGTAAAACTTTGTATTTTGTATTTTTGTATTGTATATATTTATATTTGTACTCTTTCCAAAATAAGTGGATCCAGCTATCCGAGAACCCCAAGGCCTCCAACACTAACAATAAACACCCATTCAACTTTATTATACGCATTTTTCATATTTACTTTCAAGACCAAAACCCCATATTAACTTTCAACACTCTAACAAAAACCCCTAGGCTACATTTACTCCTCCCTCCCTTTTGTACAGGTAACAACTTTTGATGAAGAACCAACCACCTCATCCTTGCTCAATTGAATTTCATTTTCAGCAGTTGAACCACCTTGGACCATTTCTTGGTCCAATCTCTTCTCAAGTCACAACCTTGGGTCAGCCATATTCATGCCATTCCCAATGTTCAAACCGACCTGAGTCCAGATCTCCTATCCACACAAATTCTGTTCATGTCTATCCACATAACATTGTAATTACACATGGAGAACATTTCATCCTCTTACATAATATTATACAGAGGGAGATGTTCCCAATTCATGGGAGTAGTATGTTGTGGATAGACGTGGACAGAGTTTGTGTAAACATGAGATTCGGAGTCCCATATTTATTCTATGTCCACTCTCTCTCTAGATCTCACCCAGCTTGTCATGCCCACCTTGTCCACGTTCTCCTGAATTCTCTCCATATTTTTTCGGACTTCTCATCAAGCCCCGGCCCCTAGTAACGGTCACCCCTGCCACCGTCAGCGACTGAGACTCCCCCGTCTTCCCCTCCCTCGGATCCGACCTTCCACCTATTGGACGCCAATTCACTTTGCCATACATTGTTGGAGAATCAGCCCGTAGCCACGCGCGCACCAAAATTAAAGCCATGAGAAGGATTAACAACGCTTGTTTCTTCTTCAGTCATCCGTCCAACACAGTATTTCTCAATTCATCATGGCCAATTCGACCAGAATAGTAGCAGAAGAATGGCAAATGTTCATATCTAATATCAACCCACAACTGTGAATTTCCTCTCCACACGGGCTGGGACATGGCTGGTCCAACACTTTTGCAATTCAAGTGAAGAGTCTTCCACCACTCTATACTACCTACTCTTGTCGCTGCCATCTTCTTTCCAATACTTTTAATGCGATGATCCAGTGGAAGCCCATGAATTTGTATAGTAATCTCTGTTTTTGAGAAGTACCCATTTTCTCAATTGCTAGGCCAGGTTGCTGCCAACGTCTGAGGACCAGAATTTTCCCCAAAACAGCCCAAGGACCATGACCCAGTACCGATTGAATGTCAACTTCATGCTCAAAGAAAAACATGAAAACTCCCTCTGGTGTGTTATCAACTACTACTTTCTCCTCAAATTCCAAGATTTCAGAAATACACTTCATACCGCCACTGGGTTGATGTTTTTCTCCTCAAAAACTCTACCTAAAAGACGCTTTTTCCATCTGTCTTCATCTCGATCTCTCTGCAGTTCCTCTTCAACGTCAACCCCCTCCTCTGTGCAATCAACCCTTTTGCAGACCCCTGATCAGATCATCTGCCATGTACAACTCACAATACAGATCGATTCAGATCAATAATCAATCTCTATACAGAGTTAGAGCAACAATTAAAGTGGTGTGACTGTGATGAGATAGATTTGTGCATGTAAATAGTTAGAGCTTCTAAGGTGGATTCCTATAGAAGAGCACTCTGATATTTAAATCAATTAGAAGATGAGAGGTCGACCAGGCCAAACTGTTTGAGACTAGCTGGGCTTAGTCATACAAATTGAAGAGCTTAAGAGAGCAAGTGAGAAACAGCCCTTACCCCTGGGCAACATACCGTTTTATAGATGTCGGGGCAGTGTCATTGTGCTCTTCGTTTACAAAACACATGTTAGCTTCCATGGCAATCACTACCTAAAATGTTGCAAGGCAAATAGGTGACAGGGTCCGTCAAGAGCGGGACCAGGAGACTGGAGTAGTTGCACTCAAGGTTTTTAAAACCGAATTGGACAATGCACGGTCAGGGTTCGGTTCCTAGGTCGAACGGTCAGACCATTCAAACCAAACGGACAGTCCATTCTGACAAAAAAATAAAAAACAGTCAAATCATTGAACATTTCGAATGATTCAACCGCTTAGGTCAACGGTTTGCTGATTAAATTAATAGTTTTTTGGCGAAATAACAATTCTAAGGTAAAATAGAACCGTTCCCCATTTTTTCGGTCCAATCCGGTTTTTGAAAACCATGGTTGCACTGACCTTGATGGTTGATCGGGGCTCGGTTAGCATTTGTCTTGTGTCTATCTCATCCAGGACATGCAGTGTTCTCTAGCACTAGCTCGCCAGCCACATGGATGGTGCCATGTCAATACCATTTGGCTCATCAAGGCCCTCGACTACATGGTGGTTGAAAGTTTTAAACTCAAACACTTGTCATCGATTGCCTAAAGAAAACACTAGATGAGATAAGTCTTTCTCTTCCTTTTAATCTCACATACACACTTAGGCTGTGTTTGGTTTGAAGGAAAAATTAGGGAAAGGAAGGGAAATATAGGAAAACCTTTATAAACCTTGTGTAAGTTTTTTTTATATTTTCCTTCTTTTCCCTACCTTTTTCTTCAAACCAAACATAGCCTTAGGGAGTTATTTTTTCAATTTTCTCCAACGCTTGAGAATTGAAAACTACAATACTTGCAAACTCATTTCAACTCTATATGAAGTTTGAAAGAGAAAAGGAAGACAACATTATCTCTCTATTAGAGATTGCTCATGTGATCGAGCAAAATCAAAGAGAATTAGATCCCATTGCATTTTTATCTCTTACAAAATTATTGTTTTATAATTTGTCTCCATATTTTATGTTAATCCAATACACAAAATTTGTGTTGACATGCTTAAGAGAAGAAATTGAAGTAAGAAAAGCATTTTCCCATTTTTATTCTCAGTTTACTCTATAATATATGTTTATGGTGAGAGGTTCCAAGAAAAAAAGTATATTCAAGATAGATAATGAGATAAAAATTAGTTGATAAAATGCTCAAATGGGATGATCCAAAAGGAAAAAATAAAGCTTAGTAGCTTATATCTTAACTAATTCTAAAAAAAAGGGACCCAAGTTCAATAGTTTTTTTTTTTTCCTTTTAACACTTTTATTTCAAGATAAATGCATAAGATGTGCATGTATCATTATGCAAAAGATAAATACAAATTCTATAGGGTTGGATGTTGGGGATGCCATGTGTGTCAAGTATTACCATTCTTAGCCTATCAAAATCATTCAAACCAATATTTCAAGATTCAATGTGCAAAATATGGTAATAAGTTTGCTAGTTGGGAGTTGTTTAGGAGTTATGTTAAATGTACCAAGGATCATCTACATGACAACTTGGTGATCATGGGCTAGGTTGGGCTGGGCTTCCGATCATATGACCTCAAACACAAAATATTAAATATACATAATCACGAGATCCCTTTCATAGTAGAAAGTGGCTAGTGTCACATGGTTCCTATGACTTTGAGACTAGGGGTGTTAATGGATTGGTTTTGGGTTGGATTGGATGTATGGACTAATAAGATACATCGAATTAGATCAGACCAGATTTAATGGTCCAAAGTATTTATTGGATTAGATCGGATCTGGTCTACTCGAAATGAATTTATATTGGATTAGGTCGGATTGAACCAATATTTAGTTCATTGATAGAAGATAAGACTACATGTGTCAATAGATCAGATTTAGATTGAAACCAATCTAAATTAAAACCAATTTGAACAGATTGAATGGTCCATACATTGAATTGGACGGTCCAAAATGGTCCAAAGCACTCATTGGATTGGATTGGACCTGGTCCATCTATAATGGACTCATATTGGACCAAATCCTCCTATTTTATGACATTTTAAATTTAGCCTTACCAACGGGTGATCATAGATTGGGCCTGCACTAGGTTTTGCACTTACAAAAAGGGGATATAGCCCTGGGCCTGAAATGTAAAGCCGGGCCAAAAAGAAATCGATCCTTAATTTGGACGCTCGATCCTTTTCTTGACCCCCAAAAATATTCCATCGATTAAAATAGATTTTTCATCATTCCAAACTGTTGTTAATGCATGTTAATGATCATGTTTTGCGACTTGAAATCTGTTGGGCTTCGCCCGCGCAGGTTCGAACCCTGCTGTCGACGAACTCTTTTCTTGTTAATCATGGCAGTCGATCCCTTTTCTATTTCTATTTTATGAGTTTTCCTACAGCAAATCAAAACCGGTTACAAGCTTATTCAATCTGAACTAGAGTCAAGAAATTCAGAGTCGTTGAGGTGAGAACTGAAAACGAAAATAGAATCCGCCTTTTATTTCATTGTCCGGCAAGGGAAAGAAACAAAACAGTTGACATTCTAGGCGTTTCCCAATACCATTCCCTCGGCGACCTTCTTAAAGGCCGGACGAGAAGAGATATCCTCCCACCATGCCTTCACATGCGGCCTGGAGTAGATGAGCTTCGCCTCCGGGGTCTTCGTCAGATAGTAAGTGTAGGGCAGGTGGTGAAGATCCGCCAGGCTGTAGAAATCTCCGGCCAGGTATTTGCTCTTAGACAGTCTCTCTTCGTAGACGTCCAGTATTTTGCCCAGTTTCTCGGCGTTGGCCTCGATGACTTTCTCGTCAGGTGTACCACCGAAGACAGGGAGCACTACTCTCTGGTAAACCAGAGCAGAGATTGGTGGGCTGTACTGATGCGCTTCCACTTCTAACCAGACGTTAACAAATGCTGCTTCTTTGGCATCACCCAGCCTCAGAAGATCAGGGCCTACGTCGTTGCGTTTGGTAGCCAAGTACTTCGTGATTGCACGAGATTCTGGTCATCAAAATTGTAAACCCTTACATAAGAAGAAATGGAAGACGCAGGAATCATAAAATAGATGGAGAATAGTAGAATACATACCAAAGAGTGTAAGATCACCGTCGTCAAGGGCCGGAATCTGACCGAATGGCTGCAAATGCATATGAAAAATCAAAATTATTTTCCAAAAAAGGGGAAAATCCCAAGAAAAGGTGGAGGGAGAAAGGACGAATTTACGTTTTTGGAAAGGAAAGGAGGCTGTTTGTGTTCGCCCGCAGGGAGGTTGACGGGGACGAGTTCGAAGTCTATCCCTTTCTCATGGAGACACGCCAGCACACGCGCAGTGCACGTCGACATGGGGAGTCCAAGGAGCTTCACCGGCGCCATTTCTTCGGGGACAGCAGGAGTAGATGGGGGAGAGGAGATTGATCTGTTATGGTAGAAGAGCAGAAGATATTATTTTGTCTGTAAGTCTGTATGGATGTGTGTGGTGGAGCAGGGCGGAGGAGTATATATAGGGTCTAGGGAGAGGTCCATGGTCTAAAATGCCGGATAATAGGAACCAAAATAGCGGCTGCGGCTTTATATTGGAGATGTTTCCAATACAAAGTGGGAAACATCGCATGTCGACTTTTAACCTTCAATGACGTAAGCGATGAAGTTGATCACGTTGATTTGACTTTCGCTTCAAAATGTACCTCTCCTGTTCACATGTTGGATCATTTAAAACTTGATCGTTGAAAGCAAGGTTTTCGAACCGCCTTTGACCGGACGGTCGGACCGTTCGGTATGGGAACCGTCCAAGCAATCGGTTCTATTTTATTTAAAACCTGGTTTTGGTCAAAAATCATTGGAAAAGTCAATAAATTGTTGATTCGGGCCGTCGAACCGTCAACCTGTTAACTTGTTCAATGATTTTTGACCGTTTTTATTTTTAATTATTTTTTTTTAATCTGTTTGTCAGAACAGGCTGTCCATTCGAATCAAACAGTCGAACCGTCGACCCGGAAACCGGTGGCCAGAACAATTCTGTTTCTGGGTCGTTTTTTTAAACGTTGGTTGAAAGAAAGGATTAAGGTATGATAAGATACGCCTCCATATTGGGGCATATTGTATTCGTATCCATGATCATGTTCTCTCGATACGGGGCGTATCGTATCCGTATCCATGATCATGGATACAAGATATGCTACGATTGGATATGATACGTCTCCGTATTGGGCTCGTATCGCACCGTATCGATGGATACAATCCGATACACATCGATATGGAGGTGTATCCATGTCTACTTCGACAAAATTGTACATTGAGTACTTTTGAATTGTTTTTCATCATTAATACAAGTTAAAAAATAGTATTATAAAAAACTAAAATAAATAATTTAAGATTTAATTTTCTCAAAAAATTTAATAAAAACTAAAAGTTATAAAAATAATATATTTCATCTACCTTAGATGATTTATATATATATATATATATATATATATATATATATATATATATATATATATATATATATATATATAATTTTACACATAATTATATGTTAAAATGAAAACATATTTATTATTTGAAAAAATTGAGTAATTATATAAAAATACTAAATAAATAAATTTTCCCAACAAAATTAATGGAAAACAGAAAGTTATAATTATAAAAACTAAAAATTAAATATAATTTATTTTATCTACCTTAAATGATTTATTTGCTTTATTTTACAATTATGTATAAAATAAAAATATTAACAGAGAAGTACAGATACACCTAATGCAGAATTCTGAATTCCAGCCCCCCCCTACTAGTAGCCCTCTCCTCCCTTATAAACCATATCCTGCCCATGAATTTGGCATCAATTCACGGTTAGGATGTATTCCCCTTGTACTATGGGGTTATAAAATTCTGATTTGGGCTGATTGGTCATTCCCCCAAATATTAATTCGATCCGATCTGATCATAATTCGATCCGATTTGATCTTTCAAGGAGGCGTGGGTAGAGGTGTAAATCGGGTTGTGATGCCCACAACCCGACACGAATTTGGATCGGCCCAATACGACGGACTGTGGGCTGTGCTAGGCTCGACACAATTGTGCGAGCTGTACTAGGGCTGGGGTTTTAGGTCCACAGGCCGGGCCGACACGGTCTAGCCCGTAGCCCGACCCAGCATGGCCTACGACACGACCCATATATATAATTTATATATATTTATATAATATTATATAAATTATAATTATATAATAATATATAATATATAATATATTAATAAAATAAATAATTTTTTAATTTTATTATACTAATTTATTTAATTATTATATATATATATATAAACAATTATATACATCAAAATTCATATAAAATTAAAATTTTAAATTTTTTGTCAATTTTTTTTATATTAATAACTTTATCCCAATACACGGTCTGACTTGACCCAAGGCTCAACACATGGACTAATCCAACCCACAACACGGCACGATATGGCATGGTACAACACGGGCCTAGGCCATGGACCGTGCCGAGCCGACACCCCCTAGGCCGCCCACGGGCACGACCCGTTTTACACCTCTAAGCGTGGGGAGTGGCCTTATCATAGAAAGGACCGTTTCCTCATTTTCAAAAGGAGCGATACATCATAGATGACGTTGATGCCGTCTTGTACCCTTCTTCCTACGTCTACTACGTGTCCGTGAGGTTAGTTTGATAAATTATTGGTCCAATACTATAACGGCTTTTCGAGAAGCCTCTAGAACGTTGTAGGTTGCAAAATCTTATATTTTGTATATTTTGTATGGATTTATATTGTACATATTTGTATTTGTACTCCTTTTAAATTAAGCCTAAGCCACACTTTTTTTGCCAAGATTGTGTTTGATTGTACTATGATTTTATTTACACTAGTATAAATGCATAGAAGTGCAAATGTAAAAAATGCAAATTTATGTTTAATTTTGTTTTAGATTTTACTTTATTCTACTTTATGTCTTAATTTATTTCATTTGTAATGAAATCAAACAAAATAAGCTAAAATTTGAAACAAAAATATGTCAGAAAATATTGTTTTCAACTTGGGGGTGATTTTCATGGGTATTGGGCGTCCAATGAGAGATTGAGGTGTGCTTATCATGGTAGTTTCATATTTAGTATAAACCCTTTTGAGGTTTCAATTTGGGATAGATGACATGGCGATTTAATCTCGTAGGTCGAAATGGCATCTTCCTATTTTAACAGTCAAATAGGTGAATTAAGACATGAAATTTGACGTGCTAGGGCTTTCTTGGGTCTCTGAACACAGTGGTGAGATTTGATTGGTCTAATAGGGTTGGGATGATGGAAATCTATGGCTGACAAGTTCAGATTAATGAGATTTGCTAAAATATAATCTTTGTTTGATGAACGGTCAAATGAGGGAATTTTGGGATGAAATTTGGTGCACTTTTGGACATCCTGAATCTTATGAAAGTGATAGATCTTTGATCAAAGGTGTATATTGAAAGATTTAGTTTGGGTCAATGGTTTATTAGTTAACGAAACGGTCTGAAATGGAATCTCACTATTTTTAGCGGTCAAATAGAAGAGTTTGGTCATGAAATTTTATGTGCCAAGGTTTTTCAGGTTTCCAAATATAGTGGTGAGGTTTGATTGGCCAAATGAAGTTAGGGCGATAGATGATAAGCTTTAATCAATGAGATTTGCTGAAATAGGATTTAGGCTTGATGGTGGGTCAAACGGGAGAATTTTGAGCTGAAATTTAGTGGATAGGCACGGATTAAGGGGAGGAGTCAAGTGGATGGTTTTGATTTAAAAAAGAAAAGGTTAATCTAGGTTTTCTAATTCTAGCTGTGCAAGGTCGTCAAAATGGAATCTTAGCACTTTTGGGGTTAATCATTCTAAACTTACAATGGGATTCGCTAGTTGATTGTATCCTCGTGATCTTGAGGCGATGGATGCATTGGATCATGAATATTAAAAAGAAAGTTGGCGTGATGAACGGTGAATGTGTGACTAATTTTTAGTTTCCTAAATTTGAGGGTTACATTTGATTAGACGTTAATGTTGATATTAATGTTTTCATTTGTTTGCGGATTGTGTCAAAAGAGGGAATTTTGGCTTTGTAAAGTCTTAATTTGATCTGATTGTTTTTCCAAGCTTTGAGTATAAAAGTAGGGTGCAAAGAGATAGGGTGAATGGACCGAGCAAGAATTGAGTGCTGGAAGCAACCAAAGACGATGCCTTAAGTTTGGGGGTTCAATAACTTGAATTGAATTAGGGTTGAAACCCCACCTAACCCGACCCGATTTGTACACCTAACCATAAGTAATAACTAATAAGTGCAAGTATTTGATGAGGATACTAGTGATGGAAAGGAATTATATATGGGAAGCTTGACTCATGAATAATCAACGGAGCCTACGTTACTATTTTGTACAACTCTTCATCCTAAATGTTGCAACCTAAGAGTGTCAATGGACCAGTTTTGGTTGAACCCTATCCAAATCAAAATCATATGGACGGATTGGATGGACCAATAAAATATATTGAATTGGACCAATTGAGACTTAATGGCCCAAAGTATTTATTGGATAGGATTGGACCTGATCCATTTATAATGGGTTTATATTGCATTGAGTTAGATCAAACCAATGTCCAAAAGATAAGAATACATGTTTCAATAGACCAGGTTTGGATTAGAACAAATCTATATCAAAACCAATTCGAATAGATTGGATGGTCTGAACATTGAATTAGACCGGTCCTAAATGGTCCAAACTCCAAAGTATTCATTGGATTGGATTGGACTTGGTTCAATTGTAATAAACTCATATTGGACCAGATCAAATTAGACCAAATCCGGTCCAATTGATACCCTATTACTAGGGGTGCTAGCTGGGTGGATTGGGCTGGCTTTATGGTCAACCCAGGCCTGATCTTAAAATTTGGTTTTAAGGGTCGAGCTCGGATTCATCAGTGAACCTGTTCTAAAATTATACATAAATTTATGCAGCATCAGCTATTCAACCCGAGGAATGAAAATTTAAGCCCAGCCCGAGTTGCACCGCTACCTATTGAAGCTGTATAATGCAGTATTTAGAAGAAAAAAAAAAAAAAAACCAAGAAACACGGCAAATATGCGTCAACTATTCAATGTGAGTGGATATTCTTTCTGTTGGCCCTAGTTGGAATTATTTTTAAACTTGTAGCAAAAATGGGCTCGATTACATGGTAAAGCCACCCATAGAACCTGGATCCTTTACTTGAGTAATTAAGCAGAAATTCTAGTCTAGCCCAGAGAACCATTGAAATACAAAATGAACGAGCTACAAATAATATTCACTCCTCCCCAAATTTCATGCCCTCGGCAACTTTCTTGAACGCTGGCCTTGAGGATATGTCTTCCCACCATGCCTTGACATGGGGACGAGACTCGATGAGTGAAGCCCAGGGAGTCTTCATTAGATAGAAGGTGTAGGGCAGGTGATGCAGGTCGGCCAGAGTGTAGGAATCTCCGGCCAGGTATTTGGTGCTGCTCAGCCTGGCCTCGTATATGTCCAGCACTTTCCCAAGCTTCTCCGCACTGGCATCGATGATGGCCTGATCAGGAGTCTTGCCGCTGATCGGAGCTACAAAGAACTCGTAAATGATGGGGGTGATTGCTGGGTTGAATTGCTGGGATTCCACTTCCATCCACACTCCAACAGCAGCTGCCTCCTTGATATCGCTGAGCCTCAGGAGATCAGTGCCGCTATCCTTGTACTTGTGGGCCACATATGAGTTTATTGCCCGAGATTCTGCCCATTTCATTAACAAATTAAAAAAACCCATTAGGAGAGTTTCAAATCTAGCGCTGCAATTTGAACTGGATCATGGTCGGTGGTTCTTGAATTTTTAATGGATTGTCCTAGTTGAAACTCTTCAGATCGAGTAACCCGACTTGCACCTAAAATTTGTAATTTCTTATGATACCGAAATAGTTGTTATTCATATTCAACATCGGGTAGCAATTATTCGGTACCATAACTCCAAAAGGCACAATATATGCGTTCAACCCAACAGTATGACATACCTTACATATTGTTTTAACTTTATTTTTACATCTTTATTAATTCTATAAAAAATAGTTTCTTAGAATAACCTACCAATATAAATATGGCCATACCATAATGAAAATTATTATCACTACAACTATTATTATAACCAAAATGAAAATTTCATCAATTCACCAAAATATAAAACCATAACTTAATGTATGTAGATTTATTACATGATTTTTATTTTTTTCTCTTACATATATAGTTGACTCCTACCCACAAACTGTTTTCACATCCACACTATAGCTGTGTTTCATTTGAAGAAAAAAGTAGGGATATTTCTTCACCTTTTCCTATATTTTCCTATGACGGTATATTAGGAACATTTTCCCATAAATGACAAATGACAAAAAGGATATTTCCAATTCATGCCTGCAGTATTTCGTGGCTAGAGATGTGAAAAGAGTTAGTGGGCAGGATATCTGAGCTTCTTCCCAGCCACACCACCCAAAGTAGGTAAAGGAAACCCTAATTCATGAGTTCATGACCTTAATGGGAGTATGCGACAGAATATTAATGAACCAAGTTTGGGCCGACGAGTCCAGGGTCAATTGACATTCCACAACACCCACCGGAGGACTATAACCACATGAGAAGAAAACTTACCAAACAGTGTGAGATCGCCGTCTTCTAGCACCGGAATCAGACCAAATGGCTTCATAAACCAAGACAAAAGAAGAACAACAGAAATTGAAGTATTCAATCAGTACGAGAGATAAAGCAAACAAACAGTTCATTTGTGTGTGTTTGAGAGAGAGAGAGAGAGAACTTACGTTCTTGGCGAGGAAAGGAGGCTCTTTGTGTTCGCAGGTGAAGAGATTTACAGGGACGAACTCGAAGTCGACAGCTTTCTCATGAAGGCACGTCATTACACGGGTGGTGTAGCTGGACATGGGAAGTCCATATAACTTGAGCGCCATTGATACTCTTTGATATTTCAGCAAACAGATAGAATACAAGAGGCTCGGCGAAATGCACTCTCACAGTCTCACTTACTACTGGCAACCTATTCTGACGATGGCTAGCTCTTGATCTTTCTGTAATTAAGCTGCTCTACAGTTCTCTGTCTTTAACTTCCTATATATAGAGAGAGAAACAAGTAATTAACCGAGTTTTTCTTCTCCCCCAGATTTACCAACTCCTCCTCCACAACTTCATCTTCCTCTTCAAATGGAGTAATATCACGTGGTTGCTACAGACCTTCACACTCTATCCATGTATCGCTTTCAACGTTTTCAGGGTTGAAATGACATTTCTTTATCAAAATTCCTCGGACCGTACCTTTCTACACAGAACCCGATCGTCTCTCTCTCTCGGGGTTACCAAAGAAACAGAATCTTCCATTGATGAAAGATGGGAGGCTTGGATATTCCGCGAACTTGCTTATTAAATTGCCATCTGGGTCAATGCCAACGTGAGCATACACGTTGCAGTGGAACGATGATCGATGAGTCCATGACATTTGACACCTGGCAATCACAATATAATATCGTATCTCTCCTCTCGAACCCATCAACAATATGCTGTAACGGATGATAAGGAGACTGGATTATTATCGACAGTTGTGAAGGTCCCCCACATGAAAGAGGCAAAAGAAGAAAAAAAAATTGCGGTCAAATTATGCTGCCAGTCTGCAGAGGAACCAGAAATGTAATTTTGTTTATTTTAGCGAGAGAGTGAGAGCCATTTCGAGATTGGGATCGATTTTTGTTTTCTTCATGTTAGTTACTGTAACTACCTGATTAGGGTTTTTTTTTTTTTTCTTTTCTAATAACTTCTGGCTTCAGAGGCGTTAAAAATTAGAAAAGAAAAAAAAATAGTAAGATAGCATTCAATCTTACGATAAAAGATTACTTGGAGAGTGTGTTATTTACAATTTAATATCAGTGACTTGAAAGCAATTGGGTCAACAAGATTCTGAAGAAAATCATCAAATTCAAATCAAATAACGACGTTTGATCTGAGCACATTTATTTACATTTGAAAAACTTCCATCCATGTTCAATTTGAATTTCTCTGTGTGGTCCTGCGGATTAGAAATTACAGCTCTTATTTGATTATTTCACCATTTTCTAAGGTCCTAATTTAAGACTATTGTTGTTCCAGAGAAGTCTGGAATGATGAGTTAAAATTTATGGTAAAATATAAAAACCCCCCATGGAGTTTCTTACAATCATAATAATCTCCCTAAAAGTTTTACTTTAATAAAAACTTCCCCTTTAGTTAAAAAAATCTGCAGTTACCTCATTTCCTTTCCATCTTGGTTACAGTAATGAAAGCTTCAAAGTTGTAAAATTGCATAGTTTTCAAACTGTTGTTGATCCGGACGGCCAGACCATTCAGCCTGGGAATCATTTAAGCCATGGTTTAAAACACGACCCGGAAACGAAACCATTCTGACCACCGGTTTTGAGGTTGGTGATTCGATCGTTCGATTTGAACAGACAACTCATTCTAACAAAAATTAAAAATAAAAAAAGGCCAAAACCGTTGAACGGGTCGATGGTTCGACCACTCGGGTCAATGGATCATTGACTGATTCAATGGTTTTTGGCCAGGGACTAGGTTTGGGGTAAAACGGAACCAGTTGCTTGAATGGTTCTCAGGCTGAATGGTCCAACCGTCCGGATCAACAGCGGTTCGAAAACCATAGTTCAGCCAACTAGTTCCGATTTACCCCAAATCCAGTCCCTGGCCAAAAACTGTTGAATCGGTGAACGATGCGTTGACCTGGCTGATTGAACCATTGAACCATTTGACCCGTTCAATAGTTTTGGCCGTTTCTTATTTTAATTTTATAAACTTTTTATTAAAACAGATTGCCTATTTGGACCAAACAGTCAAACCATCAATTTAAAAAGCGGTGGCTAAAACGGTTCCAATTCCAAGTCATTTTTTAAAACATTGTAAAATATCCCTTAAAACTAATAAGGGCATCTTTCAATACAATTCAAAATTCCAGATTTTCCCTTCTAAACCCCACTAGACCTATTGCTATTTTAGAGTAAATTACTTTTACTACTCTTTTCAATCTGATTTAGGTAAATTTTTAATTAAAAGTTAAATTTTTTTAAGAGTATTTTAATAAATTTCCTTCTTAATTGATAGATATAAGTGTAAAATAAATCATTTTGAAAAACTAATTCATTCTGTCAAAATTAATTCATTAAGCCAACGTTTACTGTATAGGACAAATGGATAAAAGGAGGTAACTGCATGTTTTTCCAAGACTAGAAAATGTGTGAAAGTGAAATATCAAGGGAAGTTTTTATGATTGTCAGAAATCTCCGGGTAAGTTTCTATAGTTTGCCTTAAAATTTATGATTTTATGCATAAATAGGGATTGGACCAGAATAAGTAGGGGCTCGAAATCCAAGGCCTAGAAGCTTGACTTGACTCCACAGGCTGCAGGCCAATGGGTGGGCCCATATTGCTTAATAATTGGGCTTGGTCTTCAGAGCATCCGAGACACGTAAATTTTGTCATCACCAATAAGTTGGAGTCATATATGGTCGGTTATATAAAGTCATGCATTGGGGGCCCATTTGTTTGGTTTTAATCGGTGAGCCCACATGATGCGGTAGACGTAGATCCACACTCTGACACACACAGAACTCAGTGTTCAACGGAACTGTAGCAAATCCCATTTGACCAAAACCCATATGGCTCCACTCCACATGAAGAGTTCCATCCGTTGATGTATCCCTTTGCAAGTTGCACGCTGTTTCTGTTCAGAAAAGTCGAGTTACCTGCTGCATTTTTTTTCCATTAACAGCGTGACAGATGTCCCATTACACGTGTATAAAAAATGTATACACAAAAGACTACATTTGACACCTGCCAAATATGGAATGTGGAATAATCAGGGTCCATGGTGGAATCTCATTATAAAATGGGCATCGATGCCGTTTTTTTAAAGAACAACAAGTAGGTATACGTCAGAGAAAGCGGTGTTTCAAACAATACCTCCTCGTTTGATATCATTTTTTTTAAAAAATTGTAATATACCACGTTTTTGAAATTGGGAAAGTGTGGTCTAAATCCACACTAAATTCAATGTTTTTTTAGAAAATGGCATATTACTGCTAGGGGTGCAATGATGTGGCATTAATGTTGTATCATGACGCTGGATAATATTAGGGCTGTTCATAAGAAGACCCAATCCAACCAACCGACCAACCCGGACCAACCCAACTCGAATCGGCCGGATTTTCTTTAGCACCGGTCGATTTCGGGTTATAAAAAATCATAAATCGATGATTCGGTTTGGTTTCGATTTTCATATGTAAAAACCGAAACCGACCCGAACTGAACCAACTTAGTAGTTAGTTCCTAATTAGTAGTTACAACCTACTTAGTTCCTACTTAACTAAGTTGTCTCTATCCTAATTACAACCTAACTTTAGGTTGTACAGCAATTAAGTCACCACTAAGTAGAGCCAAAACCGATCCAAACCGATCCAAACCGATTCAAACCGATCATGTCGGTTTTGCTTAAAATATGGTCGGTTTCGATTTCAATTTCAGGTAACCCGACCAGGTCGGGTCGGTTGGAAAAACATCAGTAAACCGATTCAGCCCGACCTGTAAACAGCCCTAGATAATATAGATCAATGTTGAAAACATTACTACCAATAATAATATCACACAAAACTAGTGTTATTTTATAAAAAAAAATGTCTATGTAACAACACCAATTCTAAACAAAAAATTTATAACTTTCCATACCCAACACTGATTTTATAAGAAAACAATGCAACATTCCCAACACCAATGCCAAACACCTACTGAAATTATTTACAGGGGGCACACATTGGATAAACTTCATGAAACAGTAACAGTGAGAAGGCATGATTCTATATATAAACTAACATGTCACATGAGAGGAAAGAGCCAGAGACAGGAGGAATCCGGATTTCCTGCATTTGGTTTGGTGTGTGTTGGGGTGCACTTTCAATTAAATTGAATCAATCACACGCGGGAGGAAAGAGCCGTAAACAGTCCAAATCCAGATTTCCTGCATTCGGTTTGGTGTGTATTGGGGTGCACTTTCAATTAGATTGAATCATAACATAATTCGATGACACTTTGGCTCACATGAGCATAGAAACTATGTGGTTATAATTTCATATTTCATTTTTAAATATAAAGGAAAAAGTGAAAAAAAAAATGAAATTTTACTGCCCAATTCGTAACCATAAGTGATCTTTCTGCTCAACTCGCTGCAAAAATACCTTTTTCACGTTGCAAATAACTGAGAAGAAGAAGAAGAAATAGTGCTCAAATTAAACAGTTTCTTGCAAATAGCTTCCGCCCTTTGACTGAAGTTTGAAGAAGAAAGAGAGGCTTGCAATCGCTTGTTAATGGCATTCAAAGAAGAAGAAGAAGAAACAGTGAGAAATAAAACGAATTTTTTGCAAATAGCTTTTCTGACAGACACACACTCAATCACTTAGTAGGACGGGATAGCACTTACCTGAATTCAAACATAAGGCTCAATCCGGAAGGAGTACAAATATAAATATGCACAATGCAAAACCTTGCATTTTGTAATTTTTTGTTGTACATATTTGTATTTGCACTCTTTCCAAACTTAGCCTAAGTGTTAATTACAAGGAATGATGTGGCCACCTCCCTTAATTTAAATCTATCTATCTTATGTTGCACGATTTGGTAGTTCTCTGTTGGAGGATAACTCAGATGCCAGGCTGGTAAGGTCGCTTGGTCGAGCTGCAAGGAAATAATACCAGAGTACCCTGGGTTGCTATACCCGGGGTGGGTATTTTGGTACTTAGGTCAGTGATGAGTATTTGGGTGCTTAGAAAGCAAGAATGCAAGAGAGCTATGACTGTTAAATCGCACGTACCTTCTAGGGTGCAAATGGATCGGATCATGACTCGTTCCAATCCTATTTGGTTGAATTCGGATCATCCCTATTCAAATCTTCGGATTGGATCCTATGATCCGATAAGAAATAGGATCGGATTCAGATCACCCCACTTCCTGATCCGAGAAGATCCGATTCGATGTGTTATATATTTAAAAATATAAATAAATAAATATATATATAATACATATATGTTATTTATTTATTTATAAATATATTATTTATATTCTATTTTTATAAATTTGTTATATTATTTAATTTTTTTTTATAAAAA